TTGTAACCAATTAATTAATTTGAGAAGTGCTACATATGAAAAAGTGAACACATATTTATTTGAAATATGAAGTACAAGTTTACAAATTAATTTGAACTACAACTACAAATTTACAATTTTGAAATATGAAGTACAAGTTTACAATTTTGAAATATGAAGTACAAGTATAAATAAATTTGACAAGTGCTATAAAATACATTTTGTACTAAATTCTAAAATACTAATCAATCGGAATCTCCGGCATAGGTAGAGCCACCATCGGTTGTTGAGTCATCCATAAAATCTTGGGAGGGGGGTGATGCTCAATTCTTGAGTTCTACGTGCGGCCTTCAACCAATCGTGGTGGCATATAAGCGTCTCAAGAGACTCCGCGCTCAATCTCGATCTAGATGCTGTTAGGACGTTGCCGGCCGAACTAAATTCTTGTTCCACCGCAACTGTTGAAACCGGCATTGATAGTACTTGCTTAGCCATCCGTGCTAAAATCGGGAACGTTCTTTCTTTTGACTTCCACCAGTCTAGAACGTCAAAGTCATCATTTTCTTCAAAATCAACTTCATATGTTAAATACAAAGTAATCTCATTCAATGCGCTTTGTTCAGTGACGTGAGTTGTTTTAGTTTTTTTCATAAGATTGCCAAATGCAGATTTAAAAATCGATTTTCCTTTAGATGAAGATGTTCGTGACGGGGGAGGGGGAGCGTTGCTATATTGTGCACGAAACTCATTAAATAAGGCATAAAATAAAGTACTAACCTCGTTGTATTCCGTTTTCGGATCTATGGGGTTATCCTCATACATTGGAAATTCACCGAAAAACGCAAGATAATAGAAGTTGAAACAATCTTCCAAATTAGCAAGTCTATAACGAGGATCGAGAATAAATGCAATACCATAAATATGGGGAATATGCGCATAATATTTTAAAAACTTTTCCTTCATATGATCACAAAAATAATGAACGAAAACGGCATTTTGAAATGGGAAAACTGTCAAATAGGTCCTCGAACTTTCATAAAAAAGTCAATTAAGTCCTTCTATAGGAGACTTTGTCCGGTCTTCGCGATTTGGGGCGGTTCCCGGTGGAATTTTTTGATGAAATTTTTTGAGAATCTTATTCATTAAGCCTAGTTTACCCATACCAAATTTCAACTAAACATTTAATCGGGAAGGCATTCAAATTAATTCGAGAACGCAAAAATGCGCAGTTATCTTTAAGAATTAATTTGAATGTGTTCCCGATTGAATTTTTAGCTGAAATTTGGCATGAGTAAACTAGACTTGGTGAATAAGGTGCTCAAAAAATTTCATCAAAAAATTCCACCGGGAACTGCCCCAAATCGCGACGGCCGGACAGAACCTTCTGTAGAAGGACTTAATTGACCTTTTTTTGAAAGTTCGAGGACCTATTTGACAGTTTTCCCTTTTGAAATTCTTTAAAAGCATCGGCGAGATTAACAGCTTGTGGAATAAATTGGTTTGCGGTAGGTTTATAAACATGACTAAAAGTTTCAGTAGCATTAAAAAAAAATATCAAAACATTACAAATTTTTTCGCAAGTGTCGATCTCAGCCGCGTTTATAATATAGTTATCATGTTCTTTTAAAAAAGCAGGAAAATGTTCTTTATATCTAAGAACAACTTTAAGTAATTTATAAGTACTATTCCAACGAATACTCAAATCTTTAGGAAAAGCAACATATCTCACACCTCTTTCAGTCAAATAACTTTGCCATTTTAATCTAAGTTGACCATTACCCCAAATACGTCTAACCCCCCCCCCCCCCCCCCCCTTTATTACCTCCATGGAATCTCCTAACGCTTTTAAACCGTCTTGCACACATAAATTTATAACATGACATGCACACCGTTGATGAAAAAATCTACCCATCAAAGAATTGGCACCACACAACTCACGCAATCTAGGTATAGCAGTAGTATTATTAGTAGCATTATCGAAACCAATAGCAAACACCTTATCAATCAAATTATACTCAATTAAAATACGCTCAATCAAAATATAAATATGTTCAGCGGTGTGACGATCATTAAATTCACGAAAAGCAAGAACACGTTTATGCATATTCCAATCCTCATCAATATAATGTGCAGTCAGACCCAAATAATATAAATGATGAAAATCATCCTCCCATATGTCAGAACAAATAGTAACACGCCCATCAAAGTTTGCAAAAAAATTTGTAACCTTTCCTTTTCCGCATTATAAAGCCTTATTATTTCTTTCTTAACAGTTTTGCGACTATAATTTCTAAATTGAGGATTTAAACTACCTTGTGCATAATCTCTTAAAGCAAGACTTTCAGAAAACAAATAAGGCAAATTTTCTTCACAAATTAAGTTAGCCATACCAGTCAAATTTTGTGCATCATTGTAGGAGAAATTACCAAAAGGTTGAGAATTCGCAAACCTCGATATTTGAGTTTGCTTCCCCGTTCCGCCGCCTAATTTTGCATACTCCACGGGGTGCTTTGCCTTAAGATGCCTTGCGGCGGATCCGTATCCGCCGGAGGTTCCCAAACTATAGTTGTTGTTGCACCACTTGCAAGTTGCGTGCCAATAGCCGGTTTGTGGGTCCTTCCATTTATCAAAATTATTTTTCATTAGTTCAGACTTACTTTTTTTATTACCGGTGGCGGTTTGGGATGAGGCAGGCGCGTCGGCGTCGTGGCTGCCGGCACCCTCCTCCTCGGCCGTCTCCGGTTCCAATTCCTCCGCATCTTCATCCTCAAGCTCCTCTTCGTCAATGGTCGTCGGCATTTGTTGTTGTTGTAGAAAGCGGTTATTATGTCGGGCCAATTCTTGTTGGAGTTGTTCTTCGGACATCGCATCTCCATCTCGCCTTTGGTAACCCGTTTCAAAATCATCTCGACTTTGAGATGAAGACCCGGCAAGTTCTTTACCTTTGCGGGATTTCTTCCTCCCAATCTCGTTTCTTCGATTGCGTTGGAGGTTACCCAAATCAACCGAATATCTACCACCTTCCATCTAAAAAATGTAACAAATATTAATTCACAACAAATATAATAATGGATACAAAACTAATGCAACTAATTAAAACTATTTTAATTAATACTTCAAACTAATTTTTTGCAAAGTAGAATTAATGTGTGTCTCTACAATTAAAATTATAGCAACTTTTGAAGTAAATAACTAGTACAAGTAAAAATGTAACAACAATGCTAATTAAGTAGTTAACTAGTATAGTGACAAATGTAACAAACTAACAACTAGTTAAATAAAATGTGAAGTATTTTAATTAGTATAATGAAAAATGTAACAAGAATGGTATTGAAGTATTGAACTAATTAACTAGTATAATGAAAAATGTAACAAGAATGGTATTGAACTAATTAACTAGTATAATGAAAAATGTAACAAGAATGCTAATTAAGTAATTAACTAGTATAATGAAAAATGTTACAATAATGGTAATGAACTAATTAACTAGTATAATGAAAAATGTAACAAGAATGCTAATTAACTAATTAACTAGTATAATACTAGTTATAGTAAGTAATATATAATATAATGTTTATATTATATAATATATAAGTATACTATACTATACGATGAGTAATACACTTATATTTTATACTTTAATATATAAAATATATATTAAGTAGATGTAGAATGTATGTATTAAGTGGATATAATAATTGTATAAGAATTAAATATTAGAGTATAATGGAGAATTGGAGATTGGAAAATAAGTATATATAAAATATAAGTAGAGAAGTAGATATTATTATGTATTAAGTATATAGTAATAGTTTATAAAGTATATTTAATACTTTATTATATAAAGTATATATTAAGTAGATATAGTATGTATGTATGTATTAAGAGATATAAGTAGAAATTAAGTAGATAAGAAATATAAGCAATATAGTATATGTAAATAATAATATATATAAGTAGATAATTAATATATAAGTAGATATAATAATTGTATAAGTATTAAATAGTAAAATAAAATATAAAGGAGAATAAGAGAATTAGAGAAGATGAATATGGAGAATTTGAGAATGGAGATGAGTAGAGAGTAGGATTTAGAAGAGTTGGAGAAGAGGTGTGAAAAAATGTTTAAAATTAGGAGTATTTATAGGTTTTTTTTTTTAACCCCCACCCCCCCACCCCCACCCCCCACCCCACCCCCCCACCCAAACCCCCCCTGACCCCCCCCCCCCCCTGGTACCACCCAACGGCTATATAGCCGTTTGGGGTGGCCGTTGAGCCAAAAGAATCCAAAAAAAAAACAAAAATTTTTTAAATATTGGACCGTTAGGCCCGGGCCCGGGCCCGACCCGGCCGGGCCGGGCCTCCAAAACCAGGACCCGAGCCCGGTCCCGCTAACCCGACCGGGTCTCTCTGCCCGAACCGGACCCGGACCCGAGAACCGGGCCGGTTCCGGGCCCGCACAGTGACGGGCCGGGCCGGTCCCGGGCCGGGCGGCCCGAACCGGGTCCACGCCTGCCTCCACCCCAAACCACCCCAAACTACCTCAAATGGCCCAAAATACCTAATCCAACCCAAAATTTAAAAAAATTTCAAAAAAAAAAAAAAACCGGCCTGAACCGGGCCCGGCCCGGCCGGTTCACTAAACTGGAGGCCCGGGCCCGGACCGCTATACCACCGGGCCGGGAGGCCCGAACCGGAACCGAACCGGTTCACCGGGCCGGTCCGGGCCCGCACAGTAGCAGGCCGGTCTGGTTCCAGGCCGGTTGGCCCGGCCCGAGTCCATCCCTAGTCCGGTTCCCAGGCCGGGTGGCCCGAACCATGTCCAGGCCTACTTTCGTCACCAATTTTGCAACAGCGATGGGTGAGATATCAGTGGCATCAGCAGCTTGGGCCTTGGGTGATGCTGTGGCGGCCACTTTCTGGTTATGGAATTTTATAGCAAAAGGCATATTTTGAGTAATTAACTACTGTTGTCCTTTGTTAGTTGAAGAACGGTTCCAGGGAAGATGTGTAACGTGCGTAAGGTTTTGTCTAATTTTAGTAAAATTTCAAAAATCATAAAAACAAGATGAGTGTGGTCAAAAACTCAATAGCACGAATTAATAGTCTAGTATAATCTAATTCTCGTGATATATAATGTCCTCTGCAGAGCACATAAAGACATTTGGTTTGTGCATGAAGCATTAAATCATCCAAAAATAGAATACATATGAAACTCTTGAACATTTCAAGTACATCATTCAACTCCATCTCCATCGTTCAGCTTGAAAAATGGTATCATGATGCCTCTGCAATTCAGCAGCACGTTGCAGTAAAAGCACAAGGTTAGGATTCTAGGCTCTTTGGAGTAAAGAACTTTTTAGGAACCAAAAAGTGTGGCAAATTACCTGGGGTGGCACTACAATTGGTTTGGTTTTGTGCATCTTTAGCCTTTGTTTGTTCGCTCAATTTGTTTTGGCTAAAAAGGAAACAAAAACGCTCAGTGAAAAATGTGTATTACTGCTGTTATAAAACATTGGTAAGATAGAAAATTAGAAATAACAAAAATGACTCTAACTCAGTTTTTTGTAAAACAGAGAAAACTGATTTACAAAAAAACAGTTTTTATGTAATTTAGATCATCAGATTATAAAAATAAAAGGGTTACAAACAAGTTAATATGATAAATTTAATTGATCAAATAATAAGCCAGGCAGGACTGACGACTTATATGTTTTCAGCTCTGAAATAAATAAATAAAAAAAAGCCAAGCACGACTCTTGTATTTCTGGATACCAATAATGTGAACAAATCTATTAAAAGCTTAAGCCCGATTACATGAGCTAACACACCTTTCTTTACTTGTTTCCTCTTGAGGCCTCATAGCTGGAAAGAATATGACTTCCTGAAAATTCCCCAAAATACATTAAAACAGACAAATAGGGTACTCAAGCAGAAAACGATAATCCATTTATACAACTTCATAAGCGAATAAGAAGTAAAACTCTAACCTTGATGTTTTGTGAGTCAGTTAAAATCATTGCAAGTCGATCAATACCAATTCCCCATCCAGCTGTAGGTGGTAATCCGTATTCAAGTGCTGTGCAGAAAGTTTCATCAAATGCCATTGCTTCATCATCACCAGATTGCCGGTCCTGCATCAAAAATATAAAACGCATATTAACCTGACAGTTCATGCCCAATAAAAATACATTTAATCAAACAACTGGGGCACATCACAAGTGTACCTTGAGCTGATCAGCAAAACGTTGACGTTGAACAAAAGGATCATTCAACTCAGTGTATGCATTGCAAAGCTGTTGAATCAGGCATTAATGCACCAAATAAGAATATGTTCTGTGACTCAATTATTCAAAAGTAAAACAGAGCATATGTACTTCGTGCTTGTTGACAAACAGCTCAAATCGTTCAGTCAACCCAGGCTTAGACCTATGCCATTTCGCGAGTGGACTCATTATTTCAGGATGGTTGATGATAAAAGTTGGATTAACACACATCTCTTCAAGGAAGTGCCCGACAAGCTGAAATGTAAACACACATCCAACACTTAATTAAATGAAAACTTTGATGAATTTATATAATGTTCTCTCTTTGGCTAATAATAATGGTAACTGATGATTGATGAACTATGTACAGTGAAAATCATGTAAGATTAAATTTGATTAACCAATGTATTAACCAGTTTTCAAGAACTAAATTGACATTACCAATCTATATGTGTTATGGAGAAATTCAAAAGCATAAAAAATTTACTTTGTCGAGCAATCTAGATGTAGTCTGAGGGGGGGCACATCTTATCTCAAACTTGGTGCATGCATCCGCTAGATACTTGTTAGCCTCATCACTAGCAAGATCCTTGGGTATACTGAGATTTGCCACTTTCTCTAGATCTTCGATCATATCAATCCTTCTGCAAAAATCAAATTAAATAAAATTATTTTGGGCATTCTATCATGCATACATATTTAGCAAAAAGATACAAAGGTTTTGACCTAAAAGGTGGGGTGAAGTCTATCTCAATAGGTTCTTTATCCACGCCATTTGCGTGATACTTGATTATATAGCCACCTGTAAGCTCCTTCACCATCCCTATCCACAGATAAAATGTTGAGCAAAATTTAAAAAGGAAAATAAGATTTCAAAACTAAACACAGCACAGAAAAAATATATGTTAACATGTAATTTAGTCATATATTTGCCACTCACCACTAAGCATTTGCTCAGTAAGTCCCATCAAGTCATTGTAGTCTGCATAAGCCATGTAAAACTCACAGGTAGTGAATTCAGGATTGTGTGTCAAATCAATACCCTCATTCCTAAATTGCTTCCCAATTTCATAGACACGTTCCAGTCCACCAACGACTAGCTGTTTAAGATAGAGTTCAGGTGCAATGCGCATGTAAAGCCTCATATTCAATTCATTGTGGTGAGTGACAAAAGGGCGTGCGGCTGCTCCTCCAGCAATCATGTTCATCATGGGAGTCTCAACCTTTAAATGAAACAATTATAGCAGAGAGTACATCAAGAAATGAAATCGGTGCATTGGCGTAGTTTAGAGAATCAAAAAAATTAATAGGTTACTGACCTCCAGGAAGTCAAGATTGTTAAGGAAACTTCTTATGAAATTTATTATATTTGTTCTCGTTTTAAAGATATGTCGGACCTCCGGATTCAGCATAAGATCCAAATAGCGTTGTCTGTACCGTGTTTCCTGAAGGATTGCTTTAGATTCAATTATTACAGATAGCTATAAATAAAAACGCATAAGAAAGATGGTGGAAAAGGAAGTAAGAAAGAAACTCTACCTGATCTTTCAATATAAAAGTGTCTGGGTTTCTAGGCATCCCAGGGACCCATTCCTCTGTTTTCTGTAAATCGTATAAAAATGTAAGAAACTGATTTAAACAAGCTAAAGGCCACAAAAAAATAGCTGACCTTGGATTCAGCCTGGGCTCCCTTCTGCCGTGGCATCATATGGACACAATGACTTAGCACGATAAATGATTTTGGAAAAATACTCAGCTCTCCTCTTTTTGTTTTACCTGAAAGTTGTAGTAAAAATATATCAAATAGGAAACCTGTTTGTCAGACAATAATGTCACAACCCATCTTCATGTTTTTAATCTTACGGAGTATATCTTATATTATGATACTAGTCTGCAAAATTGTGCATCAAAATGTGGAGCAGAAACAAATAAGAGTTCCAAACCTGGGGAGCCAACAACACCAATAGCATCACCACGCTTCACAGAAGAGTGAAGTTTAATGAAATCCTGCTCATTCAATTCAGATTCCCTAGATAAATACATATCACAGGTTAATATTTAAGGGCATTAGAAAGCAAGTAAATTTAGTGCAATATCAGTTTATGATGTTAAAGTTCCAGCAGTTGAGATATCAAAAGCTCCATTCTTTAAATATACTGCGCAGCCAAGTTCAAAATACAAGGAACTGAAAGTCAGTACCTGGCATTCGCCATTACTTGAACTTTGGCGCCCCATCCATGTAAGTCATAGAACACCAGCTTGGAGGAAGACTCGCGTTTGATCATTATCCGTCCTTTCCATGATAGAAATTCCAAGCTTTGGTGAAAATTATTACATATGAATATCAACTGAGAAACAGCAATTTAATAGGGATTTAGAACATGTACCGGCTAAAGAAACTTGCTCATCGCGATGCTCCCCGCTTTCCAGATCCTTGTATTTCTCAATGAACTCGGGAACAGTCATGGATAATTCATGTTTATGAGGGTAAATATTTTTCCCAGCTTCCTTCTCAGACATGAGTGCTTTCTTTCTGTTTTCAAAGTATTGCTGCAGAAGATTCAAAAAGAAAAAATGGTAATGTACACGTGATTTACAAACCTAAACGAGTAAATGTGATAGTGAAGCAATCATTTTACAGTGGCATCCAATTCGTCATCGCCGCCGTGCTGTTGCTGTGCTTTCCCCATTGTTGAGTTCGTCACTCTTCTGTTATGCTGAAAAGGGGGTACAAAAACCCTACGTGAATGTATATATATTGGGTTGCGTGGAATGTTCCGTGAGGACGGCATTTTCCTATCAAAACCCATTTAGGTATGTTTTGCGCAAAAAAAAATAAAATAAAAAATAAAAAAGATTCTCGATTTTTGGCCGAAAAACTTGTCAAAAAGGCCTAAAAATGCTTTTAAAAAATGACTTCAAAAAGTTGAAAAATAGGTTTTCACGTAATAACTTTTGCTTAAATTAGACAATAAAAACTAGAATCTAGGATCTGTTTTTTACTTTTACACAAAAAATACATATTTTACCAAACGCGTACTAATTATCTATCAATTTTTACTTTTCAAATTTAATTTCTTCTCAAACACCAGCAATTTTTACTATTAAGCACTTATTTCAAAATCATTTAAAAAGTGATTTAACAAAAGCATTTGCAAACACTTCCTTAGAGTAAACAATTTCAACAATTTGATTTAAATTGTTAAAATTGCTTAAGGACGTTTTTATTTGAACTGTAATATGACTCAGACCAGACCAGGATAGTTATACAAATACAAAAAGACTAAATATTACCAGATTAGACCAGACCAGTAAAGTGATTGAAGTAAATGATTGAATGTACAATTACCAAAATTGATAAGTAGTATTCATTTCTTCATATATTTTAAATATATGTACGTTAGCTTCACTAAACTAGTGAAACTAACATACATTACACTTTTTAATTATCTAATTACACAAGAATATGGCCAAAATGGTTATATTAACAAAGACATATGCATTTAAATGAATACAAATGAGACATAAATTAAAGGTAAGTGTTATTTGAAGTTTGTTTCATTTTAACTAAGAAAACATAAGCCAAATATTATTAAAAGCCGAATTGTATAAAAATAATTAAGCATTTGAAGAATATGTATTATGTGGAGTGGTGGTGGTGTTCAAAGATCCAGAAACCATACGGACGAAGCTGAAGGGTCCACATCTCCTTTGTCTTCTTGCGTCTGTCCTTCACTACATAGGAGATGATTAGAGAGGTAACTCATACGAACTTAAAAAAAGGATAGAGATGTCTTTAAATAGTTAATCGTATAATAATAAATTTAAGTCGAAGAAGTAACATTTGAGCTAGTTTTTCAACTAATAATAAAAATTGGCCAAATCAGTTCATTTAAGGGGTGTTCTTAATTTGGTGATTTTTATGTATCTTCAAGCTTTTCAATTTATTTTTGCTCCTCTAAACAGGCATTCAGGCGGCTGAATGGCTGGAATTCATAGAACTGATCGAAATACTCATGTCGTGTACGTCTAAAATTGAACAATAACTTATTAAAGTTATGGTTTACAATGACGTACAATGTATAATTTTGTCAAATAGAGAAAAACAATAGACCTTATATGTTACTTCATCCCGCTAACAATGGGACAGAAGGGGGTGTCACGCATATCAATACAAACTCACATAGTAACAATTAAAGAAGAGTATATTCAATTAAAGCAGACAAGTTAAACGCTAGTGGACTGTTTAATACTTCGCACTTCTAAAAGTATCAGTTGTTATTCCAAAAAGTAATTGCACTTCTCCAAAATGGTCAAAACCCGTGGGCGTGCCAAAATGAAAAATCATATATTTACCGCCACACTTGACGGACAAACCAAAAAGTTGAAATATTGCAGTATGGCATTTCACACAACACTTTTTTGTATAAACAGAAACCAAAACACTCAATTCTTACAACAACTTTGTAAACATACAGTCCTTATTACATATTAAAGGTAAAATGGCTAACACAAACAAAAAACACTTGATTGATGATCAAAGACAAGGTAGTAGACATGCTTCGAGACAAAAGACATCTGATGGATAGTCTACCCGGGGGGTATCTTATCCGAGGGGTTATTGTGGGAATAACTTAGAGAGAAGTCAGAGCAAATAGGAGGAGAGAGAGTCGATTTTATTAAATGAACTCGAGATGTGGAGTTGAGGTGTAGATCCTGATTTACAAGGAGAAATGGGCTGCTATTTATAGCAGCAATAAATGCGATGAGAGGACACGTGTCAGTAATCCAACGGCCGAAGGGTCATATCAGCCTGGTGGCACCGGCAGTGGTACGTCAACCGTATTGAATGCGGTTGGCGGATGTGACGTGGCATTAAATGCGGTGGTTGGCTGTCCCTAAAAGGAATCTTCGATGATTGGGCTAGTTTAGCCGAGGGCTCCTTGTGTAGCCGAGGGCTCTTTGCGGCAAGGACCATTGTGTGGCCGAAGGCCCCATATGGCCGAAGGCTTGGTTCAGCCGAAGGCTTCTCCGATGCCGAGGGCGTAACAATGCCGAAGGCTCATGTTTTCGCCCGTTTTCTCCCAGCAGCTTCTTACGCCAAAAAGGCTATCCTGTGAGTTCTAGAGCCTTCGGCCAAGGAGGCCGAAGGCACCCAAGTGCGTATTCTGGGCTACGTTGAGGCTTGGGCCGCTGCATTTTGGGCCTGAGTTGTTCCCTGGGCCAAATGAACTTGTGTAGGAGAAGTAGGAGTCTATGGGCCGGGGGTTCCTGGGCCATATACTCCATCAGGAGTCCCTCACTCCTTTTGCCGAAAGGTACTTGAGGGGAAAGGAGTAGAAGCGTTGACTCTTCCGGAGGCTTCATCGTCTGTTTGGGTGCCTTTGTTTGAGAATTTGCCTTCTGCTGATAGCCGAAGACTTCCCCCAGTCCCTCACATGCCGAGGGTTTTCTGAAGGAAGTATAACGTTTGTATGAATGCCGGAGCCTCTCCTCAGTCCCTCACATGTCGGGGGTTTTCTGAGGGAAGCATAGATGTATTTCCAGCATGTGTTGTGATGAGGGCTGCTTCGTTTCCGCAAGTGACTTGTGATGAGGGCAGCAGTGTTCAGCCATGAATGCCCCTCGGGTATCCCCACGGGTTTCCCGCAATCCACGGCGGTTTGCTTGCCTTTCTTGGGAGCCTTCGTCTTCTTCCTCTTCTTCCCTACTGCAACACTGAGGGGCTCCGGATCTAATGGCCGGGAGGTGCTCGCTTCACCAGAACCGCGAAGGGGGAGGACGGCGACAGTGACTTCTTGCCTCTCCTTCTCCTCCTCTTCTTCTGCTACCTGCAGCGCGAGGGCCATTTCTTCGTCCTCGATCACCTGTTCGAACTCCTCCGCCTCCAGCTCGGTGCGAAGGTTATCTTGGACCTCTTCGGCGACAGCTGAGTCATTGTTCGCCGAGGACTGCTCACTAGAGGACTCCGCATCCGATAAACTTTCTTGCAGCGCCGACGGCTCCCTCGAGATATCTTGTGAGTCGCTTTGCGAAGACATATCACCCGGGGAAGTTTCGAGAGGATTAAGGAAAAATACTACTCAAGCACTCTAGCCGAAGGCTCCTAGAAGCTCTAAACACTAGATCTAAAGGAATGGAAGCAAGAAATACGCTAAGGAACAAGAACAAAGGATGAACTGACCTTGGATCGAGGAAAATTCTGGGGTTTGATCGAAAAGGGGACTTTCTCTCTCTAGAAAATTTGACAGAGCTTCGCCTCAAATTCTAAAACGCGCAAGGGGATGAGTTTGGCTTGGGGTATATATAGACTTTCGGCCTCGAGAACTGGGCCTCGATTTAAAAAGGCCATCATTACGGGCCGCCGGTTCAGCCAATGGATGGCTACCGCCCGCCTTCAACCAACGAGAACACGCCACGTCAACTCCTCTCCCAACGGCTATATTACAACGACTATATTTCGGCAACATTGGGGTGCCCCCGAATGATAGCCTCCGGCTATCACTCACCACAACCTCCGGCCGACAAAATTCGACAAGCACCTTCGAACTGCCAGGAGCATAAGCCCCCGACTATCAGTGTTGGCACTCACCAGCCAATGATTACCCCTCGGGGTCATAAGCAAACATCACAACTCCTTCAGCCCGAACTAAGCCTTCGGTCTAAAGGAGTGGGGGACTGGGACACACCCCTCGGAAATCATACATGACAGAAGTTCTTCATGCAAACAATTTACTATTGACGCGTGCAGCCTCCGGACAAACATCAAAGTGGAACCCCTTCGGCAGAGGCAGGATATCACAAGTTTTCCCCAAATCACTTGCGGAGATGAAGGAGCCCTCATCACAACACATGCAGGAAATACATCTATGCTTCCCTCAGAAAACCCTCGGCGTGTGAGGGACTGAGGGGAGCCCCCGGCGAACATGCGAAGGTTACGAATACCTTCGACATGTGAGGGACTGAGGGAAGCCTTCGGCAATCAGCAGAAGACAAGTTCTCCAGCAAGAGCACTCGGCGAAATGATGAAGCCTCCAGAAGAAGCGACACATCTACTCCTTTTCCCTCAAGTACCTTTCGGCAAAAGGAGTGAGGGACTCCTGATGGAGTATATGGCCCAGGAACCCCCGGCCCATAGACTCCCACTTCTCCTACACAAGTTCATTGGGCCCAGGGAACAACTCAGGCCCAAAATGCAGCGGCCCAAGCCTCAACATAGCCCAGAATACGCACTGGAGTGCCTTCGGCCTCCTTGGCCGAAGGCTCTAAATCTCACAGGGTAGCCTTCTCTGGCATAAGAGGCTACTGGGAGAAAACGGCGAAAAATGTGAGCCTTCGGCTAAACCATGCCCTCGGCATCAGAGAAGCCCCCGGCTAAACCATGCCTCCGGTCACATAGGGCCTTCGGCTGCACAGGGATCCTTGGCTACATGGAGCCCTCGGCGATACAAGGTGCCTTCGGCCAAACACTCTCAATCATCGAAGATTCCTTTTGGAGACAGCCAACCACCGCATTTAAAGCCACGTCGCATCCGCCAACCGTATTTAATGCGGTGAACGTACCACTGCCGGTGCCAACCGGTTGATGTGACCCTTCGGCCGTTGGATTACTGACACGTGTCCTCGCATTTATTGCTGCTATAAATAGCAGCCCATTTCTCCTTGTAATCGACATCATCATCTACACACAACTCCATATCTCGAGTTCATTTAATAAATCGACTCTCTCTCCTCCTATTTGCTCTGACTTCTCTCTAAGTTATTCCCGCGATAACCCCTCGGATAAGATACCC